CAGGCAAGCCGACTCACCTCAGCCTCCCAAAGGCATGGGATTACAGGCTGAGCCACCGAGCCCGGCTAGGATGGGCTTTTTTCTTTGAGGCAGATGCAGGGCAGGAACATTACAAAGCCATTGCTGCATATTTCCTAAGCAATTTCCAGAAAGTGGGGCCCGTCTGTCCCCATCCTGAGGGTTGGTAGACTCCACCACCACACAGCAATGCCGGATTTAATACTGCAACATCCAGACGCAGACAAGGAGACCATCCTGCATTTCCTGAATTACCTGTGGAAGTTAAGCTGTCTTCATCTATAGTTATAGTCCCACCAGCCACTCACACCCTGCTGGGCTTGTGCCATCTGCATCAACCAAACACTGACGTGCCGCCTAAGAATCTTAAACATGTGAGGCTGAGCAGGGACTCGCATCTGTAATCCTAGCACTTTGGGAGGCCAAGGTGGGAGGATTACTTTGAGCCCAGGAGTTTTGAGACCAGCCTGAACAACTTAGTGAGACTCTGTATCTACAAAATTTAAAAAGAAAATTAGCTGGGTGTGGTGGCATGCACCTATAGTCCTAGCTACTTGGGAGGCTGAGGCGGGAGCATCACTCAAGCCCAGGAGGTTGAGGCTACAGCGAGCCATGATTGTACCACTGCACCCCAGCCTGAGTGACAGAGTGAGACCCCAACTCACAAAAACCCCAGAAAAACCTCACATATTCATTGTTTTGGTCTCTTACTCTTCCAGGTTTATCTGTTACGTTTTCCCGGTATGTCTTTTGCATTCAGTTTGGAAATGACAGAACTCTAAGCAGTCTGCGTGACTGAGTTGAGAGGCCCCTCTGGTTCTCAGTCTTGCTCCAGAAACCTGCATCGCCCCTCGGTTTTAGGGTTTTGCTTTTAGCCTCACTCCACCTGCAGTTACTTTGATGGGAGCAAAGCCTGGAGTCCCCGGGCGACCCCGCTTCCTTCTCAGGCAATGCTCAGCCCTGGGGTCCCTGGGGTCTGGCCCTGCCCACCGAGTGGGCCTCCTCCCAGTCCTCTGTGCCCCGGGGAGGGTGGAGGACGAGGGCCACAGGGGAGGCAGCATCCCCAGCTCCACCCCAGAATCTCACAGGTCCTTCCCTTCAGAAGTCTGAGGGAAGCCACTGCGAGGGCACAAAGACCCGGTGGGTGCCGGGGTCCCACGTGCTAATGTCCGTGCACTTTCCTCCTTGTGTACCAATCAGCAACACGGGCATTCTCTCTTCTGGCGGATTCTTTCCCTTTAAGTCCTGCTGGTTCACACAAACCAAACACGCAGCTCTGGAAATGCCCCTTTGAGCGAACAGCAGAGCTGATCCAGGCGGCTGTGTAATTAGCACGAGGCGAGTGTGCCCAGGGCGGCCTCAGGCTGCAGAGAATCAGCAGGATCGTGATTAGACCTGGGCAACCTTCAGTGGGAGTCCACGCTGGTAAGCTGTGGGTGCACGTGACTCTTTCCTCAGCACTGAGGTTGGGCCTCGGCCGGGCTCGCCTCAGCCTGTCTGTGAAAGCCTGCTGGCGTGCATTCTGGGAGGGCTGTGCGTCCATGCAGAGTGGCACATGGAAGCACGCCCCAGCCTGCTCACTGACTGTGGGGAGAGGCACGGCAGGCCGGCCAGAGTCATCTGTGTGCACCTGCACCTGCAGTGGGCTTTTCTCCTAAAACCTGCACAGGGAGAGGCTGGCCCCTTGGGCTGTCCGGCCCTGGCCCGTGTCACTGGGCCCCATCAGTTGGCCAGAAATGAAGGAAAAAGTGCTTCACTGATAGTAGATGAGGGCAGGGCTTCTAGAGTCTTCTCTTGGATCTCCTGATGGGTGGCTGCAGGCTCTGCCTAAAATCCCCTCTCTGGCCAGAGTCAAGCCGGGATCTAGGTTTACAGCAGAGCAGCCACCAGGCCACAGGTCTGCCTGGTAGCTGTTTTCTAAACAAACACGGGCGGGACACAAAGCCTTGTGTCCCAGGCCGGGAGTCTCCATTCCACCACATTTCAGCAGCCAGCTTCACTGTCTGCTCACACCCTGTGGGCCCAGAAATGTGGCGAGGCTCCGCTGAGATCCTCAAGCTCAGCAGCTCCCCATGGTCTCTCACCCAGGCTGCCGGCCTCCTTAGGGCGACTGACACACTGCCCTCTCAACGTCTGCCTTGGCCTCTGTCCTGCTCCTTCCCAGCAGATACACCCCACACCCCCGCTTCCTCCTGGGTCTCCAGGGCAGCCACTCAGGGCTCCTAGATGACTGTCCTCTAACCATTCACACAGTGAACCAATGCTTACCACGGGCCTTTATGTACTAGGCATGGGACACTGAGTCCTGTCCCCACATGCTAGGCATGGGGTAGGGGGTGGGGGTGGGCGGATAAAATAGAGCCGTGAGGACCAGCAGGAGTGCCGTGAGTCAGGGCACAGAGGAAGGCCCGATAGGGTAGATGCTTGAGCAGGAAAAGCAGGACAAGCACGGGCTCTGAGGCAGGGAAGGGCAGGCTGGGCAAGAGCTTGGCACGTGCAAAGGCCCTAAGGCTGGCACATGGGCTGCTGTAGCAGGTTGAAGTGTCTGCCCTAAAGGTATGCCCATCCAGAGCCTCTGACCATGACCTTATTTGGAATAAGGATCCTTGCAGGTGTGATCAGTTAAAATTAAAATGAGGTCATACTGGATTAATGTGAGACAGGTGTCCCCACAGGGCAGAGACAGACACACAGAGACAGACACACAGAGAAAAGGCCCCATGAGGATGAAAGCAGAGCCTGGAGAGATTTCTGCACCAGCCAAGGGACAAGAATGGCCAGAGACACCAGTAGTTGCGGAGGTGACAGCTTCCCTCCAGTGCCTTTGTGGGAGCGGGAGGCCTGATGGTGGGCTTCTGGCACCCAGAACTGAGAGGAAGTGCTGCTGTCTAAGCTGCCCAGTGTATGGTGCGCTATCCCGACAGCCCCAGAACAAACGTGGCATCTGTAGGGGAGGCTGGGGCATGGCCAAGGCCACCACAGTGCACGTGGGGAGTGACTGGCCTCAGCGAGGGCGCAACGGCATCTCTGTGCTGCAACCCTCCCCGGTGCCCCCAGCACCCCTGATGGGGCCACCCCAGCCACACTGAGCCCAGCCCCAGCCAAACTGCCCTTTTGCTACACCCACCTGCCCTAGGCACACAGCTCAGAGATCCGCCTGGGCTCCCGTGCCCGGCGCCCCACACCGCGTCCTCAGGGGCTCTCTGATGCTGCTTGTTCCCTCCTGCACCTGCTACACTCTGGGTGCTCCTGGCATCTCCTCTGTGCTGACTTCCCAAGCAGCATGATCTGCTGTCTCCTCCTCCAGGACGTCCTCCAGGCTCTCCAGGTAATGCCCAGTTCATCATCCTGCACTGGCCTTCAAGGAGCTTAATGCCCCCACACCCTCCTTGATCATTCGGGCCATCCTCTGACCCCATCCATGTCAGTCCCATGTGGGGTTCACCTTGTCCTTGCATGCGACAGGGACCAAGCACACAGGCAGACCCGGGAGGAGCGGCTCATGTCCAGACTGCTGGGGTGGTCCAGAGGACAGGCCGCAAGAGTCAGGAGGCACAGCACCCACTGGGCGTGTGACCCAGGCCTCTGCAGAGGAGGCAGAGAGGTTGACGCCTGACGGAGGTCCACACGTGAGGCCTGTGCGGGCAGGTCGGAGGGCCGAGGCTGCAACAGAGGCCCTGGTTCCTGATGACGGACAGCCTTGGCTCTCATATGCACATGCGTGTCAACCCTTGTGCCGCCAGGCCTCCCCCTCCCTCACAATCGGCAATTTACAGGGGAGGAAACCGAGACATCGAGAGCAGCACTGAGCAGAGGAACCGGCAGGGCTGGGACAGAACGGACCAAGGAGGGGCAGAGCCCAAGCAGGCAAGGGGCTGCCCAGGGTCTCCGGGCTCAGGGAGACCCCTGCAGCCAACAAGAGGCACCTGAACATGGTGCTTGGGGATGCCCCCCCCAAGGTGCAAGCCTCAGACGATGGCACCGACTGGAGTTGCATAACAGGCAGGTGGGGATACAGGGACACATTCACTCGCTGCCTGTCCAAGGACGATGCCTCAGGGGACCTCAGGGCTCAGAGCAGCCCCGTGAGAGGCTCCCCCAGTCCTGCCTGGATCAGCAGGACGCCTCCTCTTCACCTCCCTGTCCACAAAAGCCACACGTGAGGTCCAGGGCTGGCACTCACCCTGTGACAGCCACACACAAAGCCCAAGGCTGGCACTCACCCTGTTAAAGCGCTTGGCTTGGAAGAGATGGCCGTTGGCGCGGTAGAGCTTCCTCCATCTTCTGGCTCCCCGGCGGTAGATGGATTCTAGAAAGGCGGCGAAAAGGCGTCAAAAACCAGCGCTGTGGCCACTAGCCCACTCCCCCTGCCAGGCACAGACGGGACAGGCCACTCCCATGCCAGCGGCTGAGGGCCGCCGCCAGTCACGGAAAGCCAGAGCCGGGTGATGGCGTCCCATGGCTCCCTGTCTCTCCACATACGAGGCTCATGTCACAGCCGTGGCTGCGGGAGACGAGGCCTGGGAAAGGATGGAGCCGGCGTCCGCGGGGCAGCGGAAACCACCCCGGGGCCAGTGCTCACTGACCGCCACGCTGAAGAGCCAGCCTGGCCGCAGCACCAGGCCATGTGTCCTCTGCCTGCCTTCCTGCCCGCCTCCTTCCCCCAGGGAAGCTGGGCCTTTCTTCCACACGGGGCACACTCCACACTGGCCGGGACGCTTACACAGAAATGCCCGAGGAGGAAGCGTGGATGCCAGACTGGAATCCACGGTCGGCTGGGTGGAAACAATCATGACATCATCAATTCCTCAGCCCGTGGCCTGCTGGCTGGCCTCCACTCACTTAGCCATCAGGGTGGAAGGAAAGCCAGACCCAAGGGGCACAAAACATGACTATCCTAGCATCGGTCAATAACACACAAGCGCGAGGAAGAATGCTGCCCGTTAAAGCCATCACCTGACCACCAGCCTTGACCTTCCTCTAAAACACTTCACCTGGCCACTCTGAACGCTCTGAAACCAACACGTGTGAAAACAGAACTCACAGCACTCGCTGCACAAGGGGTAGCTTTGTGCTTTGATGAGACTCCCCAGTGAAAGCTACTTTCATGCCTAACGAGAGTGTCCAAGGTGGAAACTGTAACGGAATGTTTTTAAACCAAGTAAATCACCAGCCTGGTTGACCCGCCAGACTCAGGCCACAGAGGCGGCAAACCCCGCCCTCTCTCTTTAATGGGAGGTTCAGGGTGAAAACAAGAAGTCAGGGTTCTGGGGGGGCGGGAGCCTGGGGGAACGTGGGCCCCATGGCCAGCAGCAGCCCAGCCCACCCCAGTCTCTGTGCAGGACCCGGCAAGCGGCCTCCAATGCCCCAAAGCGAGGTGTGGGCTTTGACGGAGGCTCACGTGTTGCCCAGTGACCCGTAAAGGCTTCCCGCCACAGGTAAGGCCCCCAGACTCACCACACCCCAGGCCCCAGGGAGGCACACACCCCTTGGTCAATCTGCCCTTGGCTCTCAGGAGCCCAAATGAGCCTCCACATGGCCCAGCCCACCCAGGAAGCCCGGCCACAGTGGGTCCCTGCTCCCAGGGTCCGCAGGTCTCACTGCTCCCTCATGGGGCACTCATGCCCCCGGGATGTCCCTGAAGAAAGGGAGGAGGGGCTGGGCGCAGTGGCTCAAGCCTGTAATCCCAGCACTTCGGGAGGTCGAGATGAGGGGATTGCTTGAGCCTTCAGGTTCGAGAAGAGCCTGGGCAACTTGGTGAGACCTCATTTCTACAATTAAAAAAAAATAGCCTAGCGCAGTAGCGCACGCCTGTAGTTCCAGCTACTTGGAAGGCTGAGGCAGAAGGATGGTCTGAGCCCAGCAGGTCGACGCTGGGGTGGCTGTGAGTGTGCTACTGTACTCCAGCTTGGGTGATGGAATGAGATTCCAACCCTCCCAGAAGAAAGAAAGGGAGGAGGGTGTGGAGTGACAGGGTCAGACTGGCGGGGCCTCAGAGCCAGAGTGCACAGCAGTGTTGCCCTGCCACGGGAAATCAAATCAGCCCACTGGGTGTCCTCCCAAACCTACGAGCTGTGAGAGGTCAGGCGACTCGACAACATGCAGCAGAAGGTAAGGCCTGCCGGGGACCCCAGGATGGACAGACTCCCCAGTGGGATTAGATAGAGCCTGGCGTGAGCCCATCCCCGGGGCCCCTGCTGGGACGGGCAAGTGTGTGCCCAACTCCCTACGTGGAAGCCTCGATCCCCGATATGGCTGGGCCTGGAGACAGGCCTCTCAGGAGGCAATTAAGGTTAAGTGAGGCCAGGTGGGTATGGCCTTGACTCCATGGGACTGGGGTCCTTATGGGAGACACCATGGCACTCTGACTCACAGACCCTCTCTGCCACATGAGCCACAACAAGAGGGTGCCACCCGCAGGCTGTGGTGAGGCCTCAGGGAACCACTGCTACCTACGCCTTGACCTCGACGCCCTGTCATTTCTCAGGGATCGGTGTGTGGCATTTGTCCCAGCAGCCTGGATGGACTAAGACACCCTCATGCCACAAACACTTGGCCCCTCATAAAATAAGGACGTGACTGCGAGTGACAAAATGACAGAAACCTAGAAGACGCTGCAGGAGGAGACCTCAGCTACCCCTAAGGATGTTCTCAGGACTGGAAAGGCATGAGTTGAAAGGAGGTGGGGCCCATGCAAGGGAGGGTATGTCCCCTCGGAGTCCCCTGGGGCACAACAGACAGGCCACACCCTCTAGGTCATCTAAAAGCACCTGGATGTCTGTAACCAATAATGAGCAAGCATCAAAACAGGAACGAGGGCCATACATGTTTCCTTGGGAGGGAAGGGGAGACAAGACGGAGTCTGCCAGGACACGCCTCATGTGACCAGGGACCCGCCATGGCTGGCACCTCTTGCACCCATGGGGCAGCCCAGCTCCCAAGACCGCAACACGGGAAAGGATGGGTTCCCGGGGTCATCGCTTCTCCTGGAGGGTCTACGACGGCTCGAAACTGCTTGGGAAGAGGAACGTGTGCCCCCCACGGCCCGGCAGCCCCACAGCTCCTCACAGGCTCTGAATGGCCAAGAACATCCGATGGCCCTGAGCCTTGTGGACGAGAGAATGGGCGAATCAACAGTACGTGGCATCCAATGGCACATGGGCTGCAGCAGAGCCCAAGTGCATCTCTGGGCCAGCAAATGTGACACCATGGCTGTATAGCCAGGCAACATGTGACTGGACGTGTAGTTACAGAAGATACAGTCACAGGACACAAATGCTCCAGCAGGTGAGTAACCGACTCCACACTCGGGGCGGCTGCAGGGCGGCACACAGGCTAGGTGGGTGGCCCGCTGGTCCAGACGCTTTGTGGCGGACAGGAGCCCCTGTTCCGGGTGTGCGTCAAACAGCACATGCACCGACACATAATAATGAGAACTGCAGACATGAGCGGCAGAGCCACCCAGGATTGTGCCACCATGTCCCTCGTCACGTCCTCAGGGGCCTCAGCTCAGTTCCGTGATGTGGATTCATTCTGAACTTTGTTGGGGAGGGGAGAGGTGAATTTTGTTTCAATACAGTAGACCAGAATTTTAAAAGGGACCAAAGAGCTCTGAGCCTGCATGGAACCCCTGCGGCTTCCCCACCAGGACGTGGCCAGCATCCCTTCTGCCCACTCATGCATGGTCTGAGGTGGATGTGAGTCGCAGCAGGTGGGCTGGAACAAGGAGTGATGGGGACAGATATCACGCCACTCTCCGAGACAGAAACATGGTGAACGGGAGAGCGCAGTGTGAAGACAAGGCAGTGAGGCCCTCCCCTCCAGCCACTGTGTGCTGGACGGCCCACACGCACGTGGCAGCCTCCTCGGGGAAGGTCGGGGCCTGCCGTCCCAGGAGAGACTTTCACATGAGGAGAAGGAAGACTGTGCAACTGCCTTTACTTGCAGACCAAGTGTGGCTCAGGAGAGGCATGAGGCACCAAGCCGACACGCTGTGAGCCTGTGGTGAGTCATTTCTTATGTCCGCTTGGCTGGGTCACGATGTCTAGATATGTGGTCAAATAGGACTCTAGATGCTTTTGGGAGGGGCACAGGTGGCCCTCCATCCTGAGGGTGGTCTCACCCAGCTGCTGAAGGCCCAAGGGAACGCAGGGCAGGGACCCTGAGCATGGGGGCTGCCGCACAGATGGCCTGCCAGCTGCCCTGGGCCACGGTCCTCCCAGCCTGGAATCCGCCCAGCCAGTTCCACAGGATACACCTCCCCACACATCCCAAGGTCCCTGACGAACACGGGGTCTCAAAGGAGGTTCCGGCCTGCACGCACCTCCCATTCTCCTCTCTCCTCCTCGCCCCAAAACAGAGGCCCCTGGAAAGGCCCATTCAGAGCACTCCACCCTGGGGATCCTGGTGGGCTCGATGCCCAGCACTCCCGGCACCTGAGTGCTAGCTTGGGCAGTATTGAGGAGCCCTCAGGGTGCCCGATCCTTGCTCAGCTACCCCTGGGAAGCAGGGGCTAGGGAGCCCCAGGCGTCCAAAGAAGGGCTGGGCACCCTTCACCGGGAAACACACTTTTTGTTCTGGGACAATGTTAGACGCACAGGGATTGCAGAGACCATGCAGGAAGTCCCTAGTGCCCTGCAATGTTCCAGGCTGCAACCAGCCTGTGCCACCCTCATCACAATGACACAAAGCCTGGCGCCTCCTAGAACCTCGGCTCTGGGCCCTCATCATCTTTTTTTGTTTGTTTGTTTGTTTTTGAGTCGGAGTCTCACTCTGTCACCCAGACTGAAGTGCAGTGGCCGCTCCTGGCCACCACAGCCTCGACCTGCTGGGTTCCGGCAATCCTTCCGCCTCAGCCTTCCAAGTAGCTGGAACTATAGGTGCGTGCTACCAAGTCCGGCTAATTTTTTGATATGCTGTAGAGATGAGGTCCCGCCAAGTTGCCCAGGCTGTTCCCGAACTGATGGGCTCAGGCAATTTGCTCACCTCAGCCTCCCAAAGTCCTGGAATTACAGGCTGAGCCACTGAGCCCGGCTCTCATCATCTTTTTTAGTTAGTCTTTTCTATTTTTTTTGAGTTAGAGTCTCACTCCATTGCCCAGGCTAGAGTGCAGTGGCACGCTCATGGACACCCTAACGTGAACCTGCTGGGCTCAGGCAATTCTTCCACCTCAGTCTTCCAAGTAGCTGGAACTATAGGTGCGTGCTACCAAGTCCGGCTAATTTTTTGATATGCTGTAGAGATGAGGTCCCGCCAAGTTGCCCAGGCTGTTCCCGAACTGATGGGCTCAGGCAATTTGCTCACCTCAGC